CTTGCGAGAATTTCGGCTTCTTCAAATTTGAGTGTGCGACCGGATCTCGTCGATAGTTAGCATCATTTCTCCGCACCGCTGCAGCGTGTTCGGCCCTTCTCATTCGGAACTGTCTTCCGGTTTCTCCGACGTAGTTGCTTTGTCTGCAAATGCATCAGATCCAATAAATGACTCCAGACGTTTCGAGCCGTGGCAGCGGATCTTTTGGTTTTATTACCAGACGCCTGGTGGTTACCCCTTCTGCATGAATCTCCCCTTGAAATTACTCAGACCGTGTACATTAACCTCCTTGAGCTACACATTGACCTGCAAGATCCCACGCGCATGCATAACGACTAACAGCATTTCATCACAAATCCCCCCTGCAAGATGCATGCAATGCAGCTGACAGTGTCCGCAATACAGGCCAGAAGCTGTAGGCGAAAAAGTGCATATTTCATTTGCGGGAAGACCACGCCATTTGACGTGACCTGACATATGCGTAAGGGGGGACATCTGGCACGTGATGTGCGCACATGGCTGTTTGACTTTGTCAGCCGCTGAGTCCACAGCCGCCTCCGGTCATCTTAACTTCCCCGCTATCGGAAGATCGTAGGTGGGAGGGAGTAGATGTGACGTAATTCTGATTATCCGTAAGCTGATTCATCTTGGGGGGGAGGGGGGGCAGCAAGCGAGGCCACCGTTCCTGCCGGTCGAACTACCAGCCTAAGGTAGTCTGATTCTTGGGGTTAAGGAACAGCCCCGATACCGAGTCGCCTCGACAGTGTCTTGACTTTGGAGGCCAGAACATCCCCTATGGGCCACGGCTGCAGTCTTCCTGCGTTGGTGGGAACCCCTCTTTTTCTTCAAAAAAAAACTAAGCACAGCACATCCGTGGATGAGGAGTGTCACTTGCAGGGTCGTTAACCAAAGCCTGACCAGTAAGGACTCCCCTACAGAGTGAATATTTAAAAAATAACCCGGATGCCCGAAACATCAATGAACACATTTTCGACCAGAATTTCTGATCTCCTGCATGAACCTAAAGCAACTGATGTCAAAATCACGAGAAAGCAGCGTAATACAAAGTTGCCGAGTAATGCTTGCTAAGGTACACTGCACACCGCAAATTTATGTTTAAATACACTTTCTGATGCAGCGGTTAGTCTTCTCGCGTGACTTCTCGCATTAAGACTTCAATTTGAAGTAGATCCTCCATCTCAACACGGTCGGAAATACCGACATCAATCACATCCTCAACTATTACAAAGACTCCAAAAAGCCTCCAGACGTTTCATCACTTAGCTTGATCAACAAATACGTGTTCCGAAATTTTTTGGGAAACTTTTTTTCCCTATTCCTTTGAGGGAAAAATCGCCGAACAGCATGAGCTGATGGAAATTAGAGGGACCAGATCTCATTGAGGATAAATAAGGCAAGTAACAGGACAATCGGACTTCCATCCGCTATGTGCGGTCGCTGTCGGGAAACGGCCTAACCAGTCGACAGGCATGGAGCTCATTCCCAGCTGACCAGAGAACCAGTTCTGAAATAATATCATTGCAAATCAGCCAAAGATATCCCGCAGGTTTTAACTGCTTCGGCGCGCAAGGGACATCAGGGCGAACGTGACTCACCACTACCCGACTGCCCCCAGTTTTACGCCTTTTTACTTTATATGGGTAACTATTATCTGACAGGTATTTCCTATTTAATTGCTCTTCCACCTCTAAGCCCCTGATGCAACAGCCTAAGTGCGAGGAGGCAGGAGAGGATCCATCACCGTGATTGAACATAGTGACAGGAATCAAATCCACCAATGTTGACTGCTTTACAGTGGACAATAATCCTCACTAGGTCGCTCTATTCGCTACACGCCAGAAAATAGGGGGACATTAGACATGTTGTGCTTCCACTGGACTGAACTGCCAGCTTCGGGCGCGAGTAAGTCGAGCCCAGGGAACCTAGGGCTGTCAACCCGTTTGCACTTAATTATCGTCGTCGGACGTATTCGGGTGCATTCTGAGAGACGGAAATACGAGCTACTTGAATGATTTGAGTAACACCGTTAAGGCAAAATAAATGCCAGAACTGGGAACAATTTGCCATGGCGATCTGCACGGTCTTCTAGTCAACACGCACAAACTCCAGAACATTGTGGCATTGTATGCGTCCGTTCAGAGGTTGAGAACTGGATGCTCTTCTAGAGTTAAGAGGCGGTTTGTTGAAGGTTCATGTCAAGGCTGAGTGCCTACGGTCAGGACTACAACACAGATACCGGTCGAAAATACTGTTGTAGAACTGAAGGCAGCTTGTGAAGAAACCGTTGAGTTAAAAATTAACCCCCGTAAGTTCAAAAGGCACTAAGTACACTTAGTTTCATTGTTAAACAAAATATCACAACGGGAAAAACATCGAAGATTTTGCTTCATAAATCCATCTCAGTCGCATTTTAGTGTGCAGGGTAGCCCACTGTATCCGTATCTTCAGTAGATCGCAATGGACTTGGTACACAACGGGGAGGACAAACGCAAAAAGATCAAAGAATTCCAAGATGATGTTATGTTGTTGATGGTGCTGAGCCTCGATGCAAATTGTGACCGCAACTAGTCACACCAGTGTTTGTAGGTGTGGACACTGGCTCCTAAAGTTCCCAAGCCTCGACAAGAGACACAAATGACCAAAGCAGACGACCCAAGACAGGGTCGCGTCCGCATTGAGTTTGCGGCATGTGAGCACAGGCAAAAACCCCTATAGGAGTTGACAAAAGGCAAAGGCGCAATTCAGCCGTCAGAGGGGCACGTGCGCGTTAACCTTACGTAAGCACTTGAAGCCCAACAGCTATCGCTAAATGTTTTCTGGTCTCGATAGTATTGCGCATCATTTCAGTCGCGCTTGCTATTGCACTCCTCAGCCGCTGCTAATGAAACGTCTCATGCGGACGTACTTGCAAGCCGCCGGCTGACAGATATTCTGTTTAGCTGATTGGCTTCCAGTGACCCAGGGTTCCGCTGCCCACGTTGACCCTTGCGGACACTCCGGTTTCTCTAGCATGGTCATCCTCCTGATTTATGGCTGGAGCACTTCACTACTTCCGCCCGCTATGGGCGATAGGCTTAGTAAAATTGGCATTTGTGGTCTTCTCGACCCGAGTTAGGGTACAGCTGAGGCAGAGGGAACAGTCCAGTATACCTAAACCTGTCAGTAGCTTTCCGAAAGAAATATGGCAACTTTAAACGCCTATTCAGCGGTCTCGGACAGCGATGCGTACATTTCTGATGTCATTGATTACAAAACACTGGGCCCTGGAAGTCATTGCCTCTGAGCAAAGAAAACAAGACTTCTTGCCTAAGAGTTTAATTAAACATGTGGATCGAGATATTCGCGTGGTGAAAATAAGTGCTCCTCTAGAGCAACCGACAGCTTTCACTTTGTGAGAGCCAGTTCTTCTTAGACATGCATCTATCGGCGTGTGAACGCACAGGCGCAGGCTGGATGTGATCTAGCCGGCCTCGATCCGCAGTTGATTCCTGGGTCAGTCCTGACTTGGGAAAGGTCACTTCTGCCTCTTATCTGCGATACACCGATAACAGTGGCTGCTGTAATGCAGTAGACTACACGGACGGAAGCCAATGGCTGTGTGATGACAGATTGAGAAGAGCAGGGGTGTGCGGAGTTGACTACGGCTAACGCAACAGCAAAATGAAAGAGCTGGACTCCGTCGCGAAACAGGGAAACCAACATCACCACCCCACAGCGCACTGGGGACCAGGTTTCACTTGGCCGAGGCACTGTGAACACTTCGTTTTAGTAATTCATAATCCCCTATCAGTGTTTCTCCCGACAACAGCGCCTTATCTACTCGTTATTTCTAGAGAAGACTGATTAATGTACGGCCCGAGCGTCTTATCTTTACGCTAAGCAAGCGACATCATAAGGAACACAACTGAGCGCGTGTGTTAAAAATGTACCAGTCAACAGATCGGAAATACGGCAGTTAAGTCGGCGAGAGCGGCACATGATCAGCTTGACGACACAGATTTGATTTTGTGTACTGCGCGCGCGGGATCGACGACAACCAATAGTTGTAGAGGGAAGACGCCTTGGAGTTGCAAAGAGGCCTTCCACGTGCGCCACAATTGGGGTGAAGAAGCGAAGAGTACACAACTGCGCGGTAGGATGGACGCCTTCTGGCTGCCACAGGATAGATTTCGTTGGGGCGAAGAACATGATAAGTGGTGTGCCTAACGGTACCGGCCTGATGAGCACATCATGCAATGGGGAAGTTAGTGCGTCACCAAGGCGAACAAATAACCGCAGAGACGTTACTGGTGGCGATACTCTAGCGTTTCTGAGATCTAGCTCCTTACTATTGACGCCGATTCGCAAAGTTTATAAGTTGACACGCAGCCAATGCACGCGCTGTCTATCTTCCTATAGTCAGTTCTTATCTCTAAACAGTGTTAGCTTTATTGGTTAACTGACGTTGCAAATGAACCCTAACCATAGCCTTCAGACCGTTTCATTACCCTTCCGGGTGACAATGCGTGGAAGACTGAGTCTTTCTGACCCTGTCAGGATGTGACTCGATAAATAAAAAAGTGAACTACTGGTCTAGTTAATGTTGGAGAGTGAAAACAGGTAAGCCCTAGAATCTCGATTGATTTGCTGCTACTAGCCTCATGCATAGGGCTGGAGTCCGGCACGCACAGAGATGCCCTCCAAAAGGAAAAGCAAGTGAGAACGCGAAAACTGGTGAGAATTTATCACTGGGGATACTCTCCTTGAGGAGAAACCGAGCCGAAGAAAACAGTGCGGACACCAGAAGCGTGACTGCAAAGGCCAGAGAGGGAGGAGGAGGAGAGAGGTAAACAGAGTGCCCTATAACAATAGCTGTACAAATAAACATGTAGGAGTTCACACAAGCATATTACGTAGGAAGGAAAAAAAACGTGTCGAAGAGACTGCCACCTCTGACGATTGGATAGAACGGATGTTGGATGAAGCGATTTCACTGCACATCAAGAGTGCCTGTCGGACTTCTCGTTGTCATTGGAAACGGCCGCGGCCAGGGCCTCGGTTTGTCGATCGGCTAAGGCCCTCTGGTCAACAAAACCGAAACGTCCTTTGCCAAAGGAGTTAGGGCCGCTGGAGGTGGGGGTGTCTCTGAAAGAGGAGAGGGCGATTCAAGTAGCTGACCAGCAGCGTTCAGTTAGGAGGCAAGAAAGTGAGAAACTGCGGGCAGGACCGCAAGAAAACTGAACGAGAACTCTGACAGAAACATGGAGTAGATCTGCGAGATGACGTATTGGTCATAAGTACTGCAAGACCGTTTTGCAGATGGCGGAAGATCTGAAGAAACGCTTGCTCGGACAGATTAGGAAACACCTAGCCAACCGCCACCTTAATGTTGGTCACAATGGACGGCTGGTAGAATATAAACGCACCCAAGTGCGTTGGGCTAGCTAAATTTAACACATCCACACAATTCGTGGTGGCGACATTGGCAGTTAGAATGGCTCTGGCGGTTGCAGGGATCTTGACTTCCTCCAACCCCTTGCCACACTGGCAGAAGACAACCACCTCTAAGCACATTTCGATGGAAAATGGCAGATTTAAATTGAAGCGTACTCCCAGAGTACCTCTTAGGAAGTGCCAAGTCACAACAGGTATCGTTAGATGGGTTTAATCTCTGGTGCAACGATCTAATTGTCCGATATTGCAAGAGTTGCTTGCTTGTTCCCGCGACGACCACGCACTCAACCCGGCATTATCACAGCGAGTTCTGGGATAAAGCCGTCCGAGATCTCCAATGCGCTTCAGCTAATGAAAATGTAGAATCCATGCCGAATTCCATGGATGATATGGTCGTGAAATCAGTCAACGTCGAAGAGCAGAGACAATCACAATGCAGTGATGGTGCCACTGGCAGACATGACTTGCAGTTTGTCCAGCTTGAAGACTAACCAGCACCGTAATATGACGGCAGCCCGTTTCTTCGCAGATTATTGCAGCAGAAGCGACATTGTACAGAACCTAGCGGGAGCTGCCTTCGGAAGAAGTCTACAAGTGTTGTTCAACGATAACAGACGGTGAGATATATGGTCTTCCGGCCAATTCTGGTCACTGTTATCGACAATACGCCCTTGCATGTTTCGAGGACCTTACCTAGGATCCGACTCCCTGCAGTCGGTCATGGCATTCCGCCGAAGTTAGGATGATCGATTCCAGCGTAATATAACGCAGTAACACCAATGCGAGCGACGAGGAGAGTGGCTCCTACGACGGCACCTGGGCGTTCATCCGGGTTGCTATACTCCGTCACCGAATGATTTCTTTTGGGCGCGCTGGTATATGTCAATGGCATAGCAGGCTGTGGTTACTGCATTATGGATACCCGCTGGACTTAAGGTATTGCGATGCCAGCAAGCCCCTTTGAAAGAATGCAGTGTGACGTTTCGGCCACGTTCGAAGGCAAGCTAAGTGAGTATGAAAGTCATGTCCCTAAACGTGAAGATGGCGCTTTCCAGATAATATTTGGCGCAAAAGTAAATTGCGAAGTGTAGAAAAGTAGTTCAAATTTTACCACAGTGACAACCCTGATCGGCATAGTGTTGCAACGAAGCTAGGCAATCACGTCAGTCCATAGTGCACACTCGGAAACAACGTCATCGATAACTGCACTTATGCACCTTCGCGATGCTGTTACTGAAATCATTTGTTGCGGTCTACGTTCGGGCGGAAGGAAGTCTTCAACAACTAAATGAAATGCAGAAAATCGTTTGAGAATGATAAAAGGCCCGAGCCCACCATCAGTCGTCCTGACAATATTTTGCCTCCAAGGCCAGGCGGGCGGTAGAGTGCGACAGATGCAGTGCAAGTACGCCCTACTATAAGCTAATTGACGCGCAAGCTACCAGCGCTGAGCCCATTCCGCGGGGCACATGGTGGACATCATCGCGTGCCGATCGGACTGTTGTGCATGTTCAGCAAAACAACCTCATCTGGCCAATTTGAAGGCAGATTTAACGGACGGTGTAGAAGACACACGGAGGATAAGATACAAAGAGGCAGATTTCCATGTTTTCATTGCAAACTTCCAGATTTTATAGGGGAAGGAGGCACAACAGTAGTATCCGGAGGTAGATGCGCGCAAGATTTCCGTAGCCCGTATTTCAGTCGCACTCGAACTTGCCAACTTCAGCAAAGACGCGCAAGCTAACGACGACGTACAAGTCCGCGACACTATCATCGTGCACAACCATTTAGGACTTTAATACTATTGGTTAACGGGGAAATTTCACATGTGGAGGGCGGTGAAAAAACCCTCAAAACCTGCATGCTTACATCTCGCAAGGGCTATTTGTGTTAGCTAGTAAAGGTTTTCACACAGTTTCGTACTAACCACTATTGGTCCTGCATCGACTTAGCGCTTTTGCCAGCTAACAAGGTGATAGCATCCACCATTATAGATCAGGCTGTTATATCCTTCAGTATTAATGCATGCTCCTTAGCACTGCAAGTTGTGTCTATCTATAAACCTTCGCCATAGGGAAGATTGCAACGCAGCACGAGGTTGAATGTATAGTTTGAGGCCAAAGACCTCAATTAGGCGCGGACCCAAGATGGCGGCGGTGTTATGAAGTGTCAATGAAGATTCCGGTGCCCCTCCCATCCTCAATCGCTGACCTCACCTCCGCAGCTATCGTCATCGTCGTCGATCGTTTTGTTTTCCCTCACTCAAAGTCAGCATTTCTACGTTCTGTCCTTGCAGTTTCCCCCAGCGCGCACTTCACACCGATGGTCTAACAGACGACAGCACACCCCCACTCTAGATGGGAAAATGGTACATGTAGCACTCTTCCTTGTTTTATATTGCACCCTTATTACGCATTTAAACGATTACTGCCATTAGTGTACTTTTCCTACGTTTTTACCCTCTCTTATAACCTCTGCATGTGTTCGGCATGGCGCTAACCAATTCTATTCAGTATTCCCACGGACTGGGAAACGACCTAAGGTGTTTACTTATCAGTGTGCGTGTGCCAACCTCAAAGTAGTCAGACGCCACAAGAGGGCTTTCAGCTCATAAGAAATGCCAGATGTAGAAGGAGTATGGAATCTTATGAGGTGGGTTTTGGTCGTGAGTTTTCATATACCCATAAGCGATTAAGCTGTCTCTGGGCACCTGACTACCGATTACACGGAAGGGGATAGTCAGTTGACAAAACAAACAAGCTCCAGCATCAATACCAAAGGTGAAATTCGTCTGGCAAAACCAGCAAGTATAGAAGATTATAAGTAGTTTACACATCTGCATGACGGATACGTGCGTATGCATAAGAGAAACAACCAGTGCATATATGTGCTGCCCCTTATGCCATAATAACAGATTTCTGCTGGGCACGCCTGTGCTTGGTTCTGCTTGCACACCGGTCTGGATAAAAACAAAGAGCAACAAGATATTGATGCGTCTGCTCCGCAGTAAGTCGCACGCTTTCACGTATGCCTGACTGAAAACTTGTAAAACGACCGCCGTGATACACTAGGTGTACGTAAAGAGGAACCCAGAGGGAGGCTTCCTTATTTCAAATTAGGTCATCCGAGATGCAAAACTGTAATAAGTACTGAACTAACCGGCCCTTGTTCCGCATCTTGATACGAGCTTCGAGGGGCATTTCTTCTTCTTCACTCTACAAGAGTAATGGGCGGCAAGCGACATGGCTTACCTCTTCGTCGGCATCGAAGACCTTTTTTACAACACTGCTTACGGGGACAACCTTTATCTCTGGCTCTAACGCGGGCTTCTTTGGAAGGGCAGCAATAAAGCCTACTGTGCAAAATTATGCACAAACCTGCGTGGGCAAAGTAATACAAATTTTGCCCTTTCTTGAGGGAGGTTTCGTGGCGGAAACAGTAAAGTTGGATGGAGCAATCGGTGGCGCTACTTTCTTCGGAGGTGGCGCATCTGACGAGACAGCAACAGAGGACGGATGGTTAGAATCGCCTTTAGCAGTGTCCGTCATATTGTTGCAAGTCCGCTTTAAGGGGGAAGACATCCGTTTGATTGAGGTTGACTCTTTGACGTAGGACGAGGTTTCACTGGCGCTCATAGTACGATAGGTGTATTTCACTGAATGCAGAAGATACAAATGTCAAAAAGTGCCAAATACAAACTCGAGCTGCGATAGCATATGCTATCTAGATATCTAGCGTTAATTCACGTATAAGTGAACCAAGTCAAAGTGGTGCTTCGAATACACGATGCACAACACCGAAAAAATGACAAAAGAAGGCAAGAGGGAGATATCTTTAAAATGAATCTCTGTGTAGCGTCAGATTATGCATAGAATGTGGTATTTTTCTAATTTCAGCAAGTGACATTTCAGCGAAATGCCGTGTCGGAAAAGTCAGGAGAGGGCAGGAAACAAACAAATGACCAAAATAAGCAGAGGGCTAACCTGTTGATTCTGTAAGAGACAGCGATCGACTCTGGAAGTGTGCAAAAGTGAGGGCAAGAAGGAATAGAAATGCGCAGTTCCTTGGGGTGTACTAAACACAAAAACCAAGATAAAAGTGTTGATCGATGTGGACAAACAAAGATGCGGCTCAAATCAGATTTCAGGTGAATCTAAGGTAGCATAATCTAGATATAAGACGTGATCTTACGCTTAATCCGTTAATAGATTTGATAACTTATTACTACGATTGTTTCACAAAGGACAGTCTGAAAACTACGTAGCGGTCATCATAGAAACTCTGGCCAGTCTTGCGACCCATAGCCTACTTTTTTGATATTGTTGCCAATATTCTGAAAACAACGTCTTATAAACGGGAAAAAATGCGACCGCTCACGAATAAATTAACAAACCTGAGCTTAGTTTTGCGGAATTGCCTGCAGGTTCACAGCACAAGTCGAGTTATTTCGGGATCTCATCCAACAAATAGGTATTTCCAAGGCTTAACCTACTTTCCGTCAAATAAACTGGACTGAACTAAAATTTTGGGCAAATGCAAACCAGTTAAACACCGGGAATTATCTGGAAATCTGGTGACACATGAGCGCGTTTTTGTTGTCGTTATTAGCCTACGAGGAGCGTTATATATACGGTAACCGACGATAGAGTTGGAGTTCTGAGCTATGAAGCATAATTTGGTCGTTTGAGAAAAGCAGTCAGCAACAACGAAATTTCTTAACCTCATCTTTGTTACCTAGGCTAGTAAATGGGACAAAAGAAAGAAACAGTGAAAACAAGAGGTAAAATTACATGAACGGACTGAACTGAAAACCGGCCCGAAACATTCGCCACGACCAAAAGCATTCAGAAATATCACATTACGAAATAGTTACACGATCGTGCAATCATTAGTAAACTTTATACCATTTTGGACGTTTGCACCACCCTTCATATAGTACGTCGTTCACTTCATCAATTGAGGTATGCATGACTGTACAATGTGACCATTTCAGTAACATAAATCACGTTCATGACTTCGAGCAACGGTTATTGGTTTATGCGAATAGTTTATTTGTATGGCTATTAGCACTCAGTCAATGCAGCAGTTGTGAGTAAAAATGAATGCATAAGTAGCATAATTTTTGGCAGCGATTATAAAGGAACTAACTTATCAATTCACAGGTGGAACTTTAAAGTGAAGCGAAAATATGCAGCATTAGCCTTCGAAGGATCCTTTTACGACAACTTAAATCTCCTTTGATTAAATGCGTTACTGAATTGCACATATTCGTTGATATTTTAAAATTATTTGCGCATAGTAAAAAAGTTTCATTCTTAATATGTGTCTATTAGAGCTTGAGAAATAGTGAGTGATGCTCAGGACGCTTCAAAACTATTATCGTTAAAAAGCGGAGTCACCTGCAGTACGATGTTTGGGGTTTTCGATGTTTAACACTTAAGGGTGGTATAGTAACGTCTCACGGGAATGCGCTGTGCATTCGATAATCAGTATTGTTAAGGGTTGCCAAAACCGACGACCAGAGGGCGTCCCCCGGGCAATTTTTTTTTCGGTGATTGAACTAGAGTAGGCTGATGATTTACATGCCCATCTGCAACCCCATCCACAGCCCATTAAAGCCCCACAAAATTAGAGGGAACTTGCAGTGGGCAGCCAGAATGAGGGTTCTGTATACATGAAACCCTCATTCTGTTGCCTTTTTCTTTTTTTTCTTCTTTTTCTTCCAACATGGCATTCAACACTAGGATTTGGCCTAACGATTGTAGCGCTCTGAGTACAGACATACACACATACACCGCTTGGTCACTACAAATTGGTGACACACCCGACGGGATCGACGCGCAATCTCCAGACGTGGCCAAATCCAATCGTCACAGAATTCCCACCCGACTTCGCCCTGATGTTTTTCCTGTGTCACACATTGAGCACATAGATAGGAAAACACAGTTGCCGACATCCAGTCGTATTTCGAGATGGATGTTGCGAGCAAATCTCGGCCATACAAGTCCAGTTCAAACGTCAATCGAACTGTGCAGATCAGACCTCCAAATGTGTTGCTATCTGAACGCCTCACTGTTGTCCGAGACATTCTTCCGCCCATTACTGACAAAACCATAATTAGTGAGTAACTTTCTTACACTCAACATGCTACTGTATATACAACGACGAATTGTGCCACTTTCGCCATTGCATTCATTATATTACAATTTTTGTGTCTGGATGACAGTAAGCCTATTTCACTGACGCATTCGTCTGATTCAGCACTCACTGGGATGCCTTGTTCTTCCGTCTCATACCAACGTGCCAACTTACCGGCACACGTTGACGAGGCCATGCCAGCACCCACGTTTGATGCCACAACTGCACCTCTTTACAGGTCGCAGTATCCCCACCGTACGCGATTTGAGCTACTTCTGTGATAATCGACACCCTCTCAAATCCGCATGTGCACTGGATGATTTCACACATTTCATCGCCTGCCTCTCGATCGACTCCATCATTTCGTTCTGTGTCTGGCGGGAAGCTGTAGTGGGCAGCCACCATGACCGGTCTGGCGTCCTTGTTAAAGAACTTGCTGCGTCAGGGTCACTCACCCCTTTGCAGTCAGCCGTTCCAGATGCGCGGACCTGCAGTCACGCGACCGACAGCTCGGACATACCTTTGTCCGCACAGCTGCAGCTGCTCATGAGGCCATTTGAAATTACCGCTCCCTTGTAACCACAACCTAAGCCACTGGGACACCATCCTTCGGTGAATGCAAAACACACTGACTAGACACCACTTGCGCTTGGTCCACGAGCCTACAAAAACGGCCGCCACCACTGTCCCAAGAACTCTCAGTCATGACTGGACGCAGTCAACACTAGCCGTGGCTTCGCCAGTGGCCACTGTCACCTGAGAGGACAACTCCGGGTTCTGTATACAATAAACCCCTCAAATTCGTGACTTCCGTCTTCTCCCTTCAACTTTCGATATGACTTGATAATTGTAGCTCACAGACTACACACATTCTCACAGCGGTGCCGCTACAATCTCAAGTCTAAATCTTCGGATTCCCTTGCTCCTCAATTTCTTTGAAAGAGACTAAAATTTGACACGGCAGATGTGTAACTTATCCACTAGTTATTTGTCCACTCATATAATAAACACAGAGATGTTGGAAAAGGCCCCAAGGATGCGCTAAGCGCGCGACAGGCAAAGAGAATCACTTTCTCTCAATGATCCGAACCCTGGCAAATTCGTCGCCAACATCTTCCGTCATCGGTCCTCCTCTAAGCGTGGTCACGAACTTCCACGCCTGCTAAACAACAACAGAATCTTCCTCATCAAGGACACTGAAAAGGTGGAGTTATTTAGTGCTTTCTTTGCAAGGCATCTTACTACTGAGTCCGAACCAGTCCCTTTGTTTTGTTCACTTTCAGATATGACACTGAGTACAATCGATGTCTCCGCAGATCTCATTAAGAAACACATAAGTCGTTTGAAAAACTAACACTGATCAGGAACGGACAGGATTCCAAATTCGATTATTAAACAGGCATCCGACCTTCCCCTATTGCTCAGTCATTTATTATCGGTTTATATTTCAAAAGGATTCTTTCCTGAAACATGGAAAACGTCAATTATCATTCCCGTTTTCAAGTCAGGATCTCGGTCCGATGTTAATAACTATCGGGGCGTGCACAAAACACGGTCTCTGGTAAAACTTTTTGAAAAGATAATTTCCAATAAAATTCTTGACTTCTGTCTAGCATATCATACCAAAGTAAAAACAGAGGGTCAATACACTGAGCCTGCTGAGTTCCCCTGCAAAACTGTATCGGTGACGCGTGGAAAAACTATGAGCGGTTTTTAATCTACTGCCTATATATCACCTAAATTGAAGGATCAAATCAGCCCTCGAAATTATCGTGATTTCTACTGCGATGTACAAGACTCAACATAAACGCAGAAAAACTGAAGAAGGCGGATATCGACCACTAATTTACATTACACAACTAAGAAATATTTTCAGTTTTTTAGATGATTCAATTTCAGCACACATGGAGTGGATAAATTGGGCATAAATGGGTTTCCTTAATCTGCGCTACTGATGACAGCGAACATTACTACAATCTGTTTAATAAATATTCACACAAGAGGCAGGTATTATCGATGAAAAAGAGTAATGTTCGTGCTGACGTACTTTCTTCTTTACACGCATCGATGGGCTTTGTCGCGTAAAAATCAACAGGAGCGTTACTCGCACTATGACTGCCTGTTGGGCAAGACGAGGTTCTACCCGTCATTCAATGTCCACCGTTCCTGGAAGATTACTGCCTATGATTTGCATTTCGTTACTACCGTCGAAAATATTAACAAATAGTAATCAGTGGCACATAGAATGTGTTTATCTTACAGTCACGCACTTGAGAGCTGTGGACTGAGTTTGGGTAGTCCACCATCGAACACTAACCTCGTCAGATCGTAGTTGTTGCGATATTTGCACGCTTGGCCACGTTCGAGGTAATATTTGCTTGGCTTTCAAAGCCTGTATCATCAGATAGTGTGAAAATGGCCTGACCTAGCTGATCCACAGTATCTTTCCTTCAGACGTGTTTCTCGACCGCCCAACTCCTAGGAAGACTGCAGACGCTGAACATTAATAATGCATAGACCGACGTAACATCAAAATGGGTAATGATGGACTCTCGGCCGGAGAACGGTGGCTCAATTAACTCACGACCGACCCTGCTGATGACATTTGTCGCCTTCTTTCTGGCCTGCAATTTGCAATGAACGGAGGAGACAGTAGACGAATGTCTCTTTTCACAACTGCTGTTTACCGCAAGCATTTCAGATATGGGAAACCGGAACATAGAGGAAAAATTAAAACATGAAATTAGAAATCAGTTATAAGAGCAACAGCCAAATCATTAACGAAAAACATACGCTTTGGGTGTATCATACTGGGGCGCTGTAATGCACGTAGGTGAACTGACGGATCAGGTTGCTCAATTGCATAGCTGTCGCCATGACTGCATTGGCCAGTGTTTGACAAAAAGTAACAAGAAACCAAATTGCACACTAGCTAAACTTTGTGTCTGGTCGTGACGGTCAGTATCGTGTGGGAGGTGGCCAGCAGACTAAACAGGCTACTCGAAAGTGAAGTTACACAAAGGCCAGTGTCAAGCATACAGCGTCAAGCGCAGAATTTGAACCAGCCGACTAAAAGACGACAAATGGCCAAAGTCGTTCACAGAATAAGCCGAAGTATCCATGAGATTATTTCAATCTCGGATGTTCAATTACATATGAGCATTGAGGAGAATTTGAGTCAAATCGTCGGTGTCCGTTTATTTTATGCCATCAGGTCGTACACGGATGTTCGTGGAGTCCGAAACCCATCGAACGTGCAATAAGAGCAGTGAGGCGATAGCCTGGAAGGTATCTGGGGTCTTGAAGTTAAACAGACGACGACACAGCCCGTTTCCCTGGAATGAAGGAGAACTTCCCCTCGTAAATTTCTTATGTGTTCTAATTGTGCGACCTAGCAAGCGAAGTCTGCCTGATGGTGGTGGGAAGAACAACAAGGGGGAGGGAGTTAAAAATCAGTGATGAAGGCGACAAATTAGCACACCCAGTTTTCCGCTCAGCCTAATTTACATTGTCTTATCTTGGGTGCCCTATGTTTGTGAATGGGATGGTGCCGGAGCCAACATTCCAGTGAGAAGGGAAGACTCTACTCACGGGCGATGCCTTTGCGTTCGGCAAAACAACAGCTTATCGTTGCCGCGCGGACGACAGACAGAACATCACACACACTTGCGGCTTGGTACTCAGATGCCAAATTAATCAACAGGCATCTGAACTTTCCTTCGGCCTACAAATTCCTACGACACTGCATACGCCATGACCAGGATATAACAGTTGCACGGAGCTTAAACATGCCAAGAAAACGCGGCCCATTGATCAATTCGCCCAAAAGGGGAGTACAGGTGCAACCAACTCCCACTGCGATTACAACACAGAACGCGCGAGGCCGCAAACATCCAAAAAACAGCCAGAAGGCCAAGGCAACGAAAGAAGAATAAAATCTTTCAGCTCAAAGCCAAGTAAGTAGGCCGTTTATTTGAAATTCTGGCGGATTTTTTTGTACAAGACGATTTATAATGAAGAGCTGGCCAAGCCCTCCGAAACGTCAGTCCCACAATTCCCCTGATTCGGTGAGCCCTTAATATTTCTCAGATCTAACACTTTATAAATTACAATAAAAGTGACTTGGCAAGTTATGCTGTGCGGACTAATTCAAGAACAAACAGAATGTCCGCAAGACTGTATTGAATTGAAAGTGGACAACTGATATATTAGATGGCAAGGTAAATAAACCCACACAACGAAAAGCCTCTTCACGGCTAATCAACCTATTCAAACCTTTCTAAACCAACCTTAGCGGAAATATCTTCATCATAAATACACTGCTGTGGCAAAAAAGAGGAAAAAAGAGTAGTCGGATTTATGTCAATCACTAGTTGAAGTGTGGAGCGTGTTCCTCGCAAAAATGTGTGTCGTGTAGGAAATGACGTACGAGAGAAATTAACCACCTCCAACGAGTATATGTCTTCATCCAAGCAGATAGTAACTGCGGACACAGTCAGTTTCGTTGCTTTTGAAATTTGGGTCCGTTTAACTCTGTGTGCCCTCGCCAATGAGGTGTGACGAAACTGAAATAAAATTTTAACAAATGGCTTTGTTAATGGGCGGTTTTCTGTTGGCCAATAAAAAATCCCAATTTAAGTGATAACAAAACCGTTATCAGTCAACAAGAGCGACAGGCAAAAGATCCTCAGTTATGACTTTCCAGGCAATACGCACCTTGTTAATTAAACATTGAACAGTTTAAGTCAATTCCTCTTGCCTGTAAAGTTTGGACGACATTAAGAATAACCAAACGAAAACGAAAACATAGCTGCCCGTCAATGCAGTTGGCCATAATAGTCAGACGTGCTTAAGATATTTTTACATAACAAGTCAAGTGCAGCAAACGTACGCTTTCAATTATTCATAATTATACCTGCACGGTTATATGAGTGAGGACAGAATAACAAAGGCTACGTATCCAATAAGAGTCTGTAAGGGGGGGGGAGAGGGAGTTGAATGGCGTTCAGAGCTCAAAGACTAGATTCTGGTTCTGCCGCTGAGGGTCGATCTCCCGTAGATATGAGGACTTACTAAATGTAGACACGCATGTAGTGTTGTAAAGTCGAGAAAGATTCCAAGGTGCACTGTAATAAAAATGTGTAATGCCTAATGCTTATAACCGAAGTAAATTAAGGTGTCCCGTGTTTACATTCA